ATATATATATATACATATTTGCTGATAAAATAATTATTATTACTGACATTATAGCAATAATAATCATAATTATAACACGTAATTCTAATCAAATACCAGTCTTTCTCTAAGTGTAGCATTAATTAATGGATAACTACACTCATAGAAAAACATAGTAATAACATTATCACATTAAGACATAGGTCGAGAAGAATATAATTTAAGGTAGCAAATGTTTAGGGATGGGAAATTTTGAAAAGAATTTTTTTTAGTTATTGAAAAAATATTAAAAAATTAGAAAACATTAAAAAAAGAAAAAGTTTTTGAATTAAAAAAAATTTATCTCTTTTTCATGAAACAAATATAACGATTATATATTGCAGAATATAGGAGGTAAACAACAAAGTTTACATATGCAGCTTTATATATAGCGTTCTGTTATTCACTGCAAATTCTGAAAATCTATAGCTTACGTAATGTCTACTATAAATTTTAGCAGTCTTATACTTCTCAATACAGAATTAAATATTGCCGTCATATTTGTTTTGTATCTAGATTTTTATTTGAGAGTCTCCAATAAAGATCTATTCTTTTTTAAAGAGTTCCGAACTGGTAATTATAAATTTATAATTATAATTATAAAATAACAATAATAAACAATTTATTAAGATCATATATGTGAATACACAACAAATAAGAATTTAAAAAGCCTATTACGATTTTAAATGCTTAAATAATTTCTATGTGAATTTATATATACTAAATATATATATGTAGATAATCATTGGAACTGTGCACCGAATTGGTTTTCTCTAGGGTACGTAGAATCCTCTAAGAAAAGATTTTTCCTGTAATTCTATATTGGCAGCTATTACCCTTAAAATTCGAGGAATCTCACCAAGGCAACGTGTTGGGCATGTATGTACAACTAATCTTATTAGTTCGATAGCACGATCGGCATCCATTATATTCAGCCATGCTCGTGAAATTGAAACGGACAGAAGGTAGATAGGTAGTAGGTGCCAGAGATAGTTGTGCTCTTGCACACCGCACGTACGAGAGCTCCAACATGTGTTCAGATTGTATGGTAATAGCTCATGCATGCGCTATTAACTCGTATACGGTCGTGTGATAATCTTTGCTCGTTCCGCACCTACTCTACGTATCAGTCGCGTATCGCGACGGTAAAACTTTGTCCCAGAATTTTGGGCTATCGCCATCCGTCACGTGCATGCTGAACGCGCATTTAGCCCTCGTTATTGATGTTACGTTTGAAAACGTGATTAAAATAGGTGTTTCATCAAAACTCGGCGGATGATTTCACTGAAATCTCTTTCTGGCTGAGATACTGTTGGTTAACATTTTGAAAGTATCTTTTGCACCTGCACTGTCAATGTTTCATGCAGATGAATGTAATGCAAAATTTCATTAGAAAAAATATTTAATAATAATTCAAATTCGTAAATAAAAATCCACCGAGAAATGTTCAACACAACTAAAGTGAAGGAAGCCATATTCGGTCTAAACGGATCTTGGTATCTAATAATGCAATATTTATGCGAAACTGAAAATAAGCTTAAAGTGGAAATTAATAAGATTTACATGAATATTATTAAACATATCCGCTTTGATTGAATATGATTTTCTTTGCTTAAACGTACTTAGTGACAGATAGCATCATGTCCAAAATTAGGACTAAGAGTCTTGGAATATCAATTCAATTGAAATGTCTTTAAGGTATTTTTAAGATGTCTTATGTCTCGATTCCAGATGTACAGGCGCGTTGTCTAGTTTATATGATTTTATGCAAAAACATATGGAGACTACTTCTAGGATAATTTTCACGCTGATTTCAAATTTGCTACAATATATATTTACAAAATATTTACATCAGATTGAATTTCTGAAATATAAGAAAAGACATTTTTCCAATATATCGTGAAGTTTATTAAAATTAGAAAATAAATCAAAAGTATTGAGAATTCAATTTTTATTGTTTATATGATTTAAGATTGATTTCACGTACTAAAGTTCAGTAGTTACTTACAATTAGTATATTTTTGTTCGTTTCAATAACGATTTTCTTCCTACTAACGATTTTCAATTATTATCAAATTCTTATGATAAAATCCGCTCTGCTTATCCCTTTTCGCATCCAAATTATGCAGGAAAATATACAATAAAGGAATATTTGGTTCTTATATAATATTTGGTTCTCATATGTTAATATTAATTTATTATACAATGAACAAGATTGTAACATCGAAGCAATGACATACGTAGAAGACATCCACTGTTAATCTAATTATAATATCAACGTTTTGTACTGATGATGGTAAAATCTTGACCGAAACGTATACAATATTATATGTTAATATATTAATTCGGAATATATAATATTATTTATCTCTAAAAAACATCTTTAGCTGGCTATATGTTCCTTTATTGTATATTTATACTTTAAGCCTTCAGAAAGTATAGCATTTAAATATAGCATTTAAATAGGAAAAATAAGGTTACATTTTAAAAATCAATATGATACATCTTAAAAATGATTTATCTTAAAGTTAACTGCATGCTTAAAAATTCGATCTGATGAAATATTTCTGACAAATTCAGCGTTTTAAAATATATACGTTAAAGAAATTGTTTCCTTTTTTTGTAATAAAAATTATTCAAAATTTAAACTAGTGTAATTATGTTTCTTTTTTATATATCTTCTTATTTTACAGTTTGCTGTAAACATTAATAACTTGAAAATGTACTTTTCACGGACAATTGGGAACATGGAAAATTTCTTCGTATCCTGTTTGCATATGAAAATTAAATAGCTCTATCCATTGCAGTCTTATTCACATGTATGCATTACTAATGACACTACTTAATTATCACTGGTTAACTTATCGCGATGTTGAAACGTGAGATCGCGTGTTCGCATAGCGAATTGCTCATTGCAATTGCTGCTGGATGCACTTTTTTTACTTACGTCGCTGACTCCTTCGGGACTCGCAATGGGAGCAGTGGTGCCAGGCTGCGGTATGATGCTCGGAGTTATCGCCGATGTTGCGCCACCATTGTTGTTGCTGCCGCCCGATGGCGGTGGTAGTCCCGGCGGAGGTGTGCCAGTCCTCCCAGGACCCCAAGATTCCATCATTGTGGGCGAGCCACATGTTAACGGGCTTAACACATCACATAAGTTTTGATTAATCAGTCATTCGTTCAAGTTGCACATGTGAGATCACATTTACTGTATACTATTTTAATTTTCGAACACTTGCGAACACTACCCGGATAAGTTCAGAAATTATTTCGCACTTTGAAATAATAAAAGGAATGTTTTCTTTAAAGATTTACTACGGATTAGTAAACTTATTACGGATTAGTCACACGCCTAAATTTGATCTTTTTTAAGAAGTATTAAAATTTTATCGGAATTACGGAAGATCTCATTAAAACCAAGTTGGTTATAAATTTTGTGTGATACTCAGCGGGACTTGTTATCTCTGGCTTTATGAAAGATTCAAGTGGGACACGATTATACAGATAAACAATAGTTATTGCGAGAAAATCAGCGATACAGTACGTATTTATATCCAGTACAGGTGAACCCTCTGATAAAAAAAATAGCGAAACAGGTGCTTTCCATTAGCCTGACCAGGAAATTGTGGTTGACAATGGCCAGCCATATTTACTGTAACCCCTTTCCCTTCTCTTTTTTCATACCAGGATGTTAATCTGAAAGATGGTTTGCACGCGTAGCTCAAGCCCGCAAATGGCCGCGTCGTGGGATGGCAAGAGAATTTTACTGTGTAAATCCTAAGATTATGGGGATGGTCGATAACGCGATACGGAACGGAGGTCGAGTGAAGTGTGTCAGTGTTAGGTCAGACTAACCAATCGATAAACAACCTGAACCTGCGGCGCAATGCGTGTGTGCTTGCATGTGTGCGTGTGTCGCGTTAAGGGTCACACGCGATTAGAGATCATTAGTCGGAAACGAATTTCTTTGTATTAAAATTACGAAATTACTAAAATACTGTAAGAGTAGTATTTTGCGATATTCGTAATTAGAAAAGACAATTGAAGATTCGTTCGAAGTGATTTTTTTGTGAAAAAGGTAAAAAATTCGTTTTGATATTTCATTCAATGTGTACTATAGTATAGGTGAGACATAATTTTATTTATTATAATTTTCTTTAAGAACTAATTTACAAAATTCGGCTCTGTACGCACTTTCGCAGCTTCATAGAAAAAAAAAAAGTTAAAAAAGTTTTGTGACGCAATATTACTTCTAGAAAATAAAATACAATAAAATGTGTATCCGTATTGTAAATAAAGAGTATATCATTTTATATATTATAATGTCTTTAAGAGCGAAATTGAAAAATTTGGTTTTTTAGCAGACTTCGTAGCTTCATAAAATATAAGTCAAGAGAAGTTTCATGACAAAATCCTTCTTCTGCGAGACAATACCCAAGTAGCAAGATGATGTTAAATAATGTCATAATAATGTTTTTTAACGTCAATAAGACGTCATTAAAATGTTACCTTGCTACTTATATAACAGAATCTGATAGTGCACGTAGCTGCATCACAAATAAGAAGTGAATGAGTTGGTCCGTCACTCCTGTGACGACCTTTAAACTACAATTGCATTCCATGCATTCCATGATGGCGCAATTCCACGTTCACTGTTGTTGTTTCGTTAAACAATCATTCTTCATTATCCGTCTGCCGTTATAGAATTTATGGATATATAACCATATCATCCTTTATCGTTTTCAAAGCCCGACATATTTGTAACGCGATTAGATTCGATCGGAAGGGAATTATGTAAGAGAACAAAAACGCATGGGATAGGTTAAGCGAATGCATAAACAGTTACAGATACCGTGCGTCGTACAAAGCAATAGCCTTCCATGTCGCGGAGCGACATGCCCGCAGGAGCCATTTGTGAGCGTTCACAACTATTCAGTTGGTCGCTTCATTATATTAACTGTTTCTTCTTATTAAATATGTACGAATATATAGGATGTAATTTAAATAAACAAATGAACAATGGGTTTGCGGATATATTTATATGAACTTTTCCATACTTTAGGAGTAAATTTTTGAAATATGGAAAAGTTCATATAAATATATCCGCAAACCCATTGTTATTGAGATACAAATATTCGATCACGAACTGTGGACTGTCAAAATAAAAGTTATTTTTGAAAGCATTTTTGTAAGCAATATTTAATTCAATAATCATAATTCAATTATTTATTAAACACTCAAAAAGAACGCTCAAATTTGGATGTAATTTCGGACCATCAACTGAAAGTTAATGCTCAAAGAAAAATCAAAATAAATGGCTTTATTATATAAAATTAATTAAATCTGTTTTATTCATAAAATAATATTATTAATTTGCAACATTTTTCGAAATATACACGACAAAATTATAATTAAAAAGCGCTCTCTCTCTCTCTCATTTAGGAATTAATTTCCTTATTTTTCTAAATGGTCACCCATCCAATCGTATCCTAACGGTGCTTCACTACTGCAATCGTATGGGAACTGTTGTTTCGATGATCCAAGAACACTGAATATTAGTGTATAACTGTGATGTATCTTAATAGGGCTTCAACATCTTTAGGACTGCGTTTGAAAACATCATCTGAATGCTCTTGTATTTTATATTAACCTTGTTTCACATTGGATAACAAGAATAAAACAATGGGAGTACTTGGATAATTTCCGAACAGCATAGATAAAGTTTGTCAAAAAGATGTTTCATGCGTATAGTATTAAAATATATTTCTTTCATAAATGAATCTGACGTATATTCAACATTTCAGCGTTAATTTTATATTCAACATTTCAGCGTTAATTCTATATTCAACATTTCAGCGTTAATTCTATATTCAACATTTCGTTAATTCTCAATCATAAAGATTAACATTTAAGTGACACTTACATTCAATTTTTAAAATACCACTCAAAGGTTATTAAGCCGTTTAAAATTTACATTCATCTATTAAGTGTCATGAGTAAATCGCAGTTGGATGTTACCATCAAATTCGGTATATAGTATGGTGTATACACCAAACTATTCACCGAATTTAATGGTCACACCCAACTGACATTCAACATTGATGTTCAATGCTTAATTGATACTTAATATTGAATGTTTACACTAAGGCAACATATTATATTATCGTCTCAAGTGACACTCAACATTGATGGTCAATGCTTAAATGACACTCACTGTTGACGGTCAACACTTAACTTTGATGGTAAACATCTAAATTTGAGTGTTAACACAATAAATTGAAGGTTTTTTTTTTTGTAAGGAATGATCAATTTGATAACAACTTTTTAATAAACAATGATTGTCGATTGAAATGTTCTGGAGACTATTCAGGACATTGGCCATGACAAGATTTTCACCCCATCTCTCTCTCTCTCTCTCTCTCTCTCTCTCACTGAGAGAAAGAATTTTGTTGAATTTAACAAGCCAGTAACCGGTGATCAGTAAATATGTGACAACAAATTTTGTTGCTGCTAGTTTGCTATACCAACCAATTATTAACAGAAGCAAAGCAAACTATATAGAATCTAACTTATCTTAACTATCTTTTGGATAGACTTTAGTTCATTTACATAGAATTCCTAGATGATCGTAGAGTCTTAAGTCGTAGGAAATCGACTAAACACAGTCAATATAGGGAAAAAACTTGATTAGAATTGGTCAATTTCTTACAATTTGAGACCTCATAACTGTCTAAGACTTATATATATATATATATATATATGCATGAGCCTCTTATTCGCTAGCGATATTATTGATTATTTATTTATTACATTGACAAATTAATTTGCAATCATAACAAATCGATCATTTTTTAAACAAATATCACATTTGTTTGCTTATTTTACACTCTGTAAATTTGAAAAAAGAATGTTCAAATGACTAAAGATTTAGCAAGATACAGATCTGACAATAATTTTATTTGGATCTTCAAAATACAGTTATAAGAATGTTAAAACTTTTGCAGCTTGTTATCAACACTTAAACATTATTAAATATATCATTTTGATAATTTGACAAAATTTTTTCAGATCTATCTAGCTAAATTTTTAAATACTTTAACAAAATCATTCTTTCCACGTGTCAAAGAGATTGCTATAATCTGCTGTATCCAAAGAACAAGGTTTTAATGACGTCTTATTGATGTTTAAAACATCAAAATGATATGTTCAATAATATTTAAGCGTTGATAACAATGCTGCAAAAAGTTTTAACATTTTTGTAATCAGTTTTATCATCCTATTTATTTTAAAGATCCAAACAAAATTATTTTCAGATCTGTATCTAGCTAAATCTTTATTGAGAAAAACCGTTTTTTCCATACACCTGTGAATATAATGCTTATTATAAAAATAATTAAAAACATGACAACTCTGATTACTATAGAAGATAGAAGGCAGATTACAGAATAGGTGAAAAAATTGTCACGATATCTTGTACAGCTTACGTTGCATTCTCGAATTATCAAAATTACTTCTTCACAATTTGTTTAGACGTTATTACATAGTTATTAGTCGTTTGTGTTTACTGCGTTGTCGTAAAATTTGAATTTTAGTATTTAATATTAGCTTAGTCTAAAAGAGCTATATACATAGATTTGAAAATAATGAATTATTTTGATGTTTAACAAAATTATTTTCAGATCTAATTCAATTTATCTAATTCAATTTTTTGATTTCAGCAGATAACGGAAAGTTTTATAGTACGTACTCTTTACGTAATTTGAGAGTTATGTTGGTATTAATTTTGTAACCTTAGTCTAGCTTGAAGGCCTTGAGTTTTAGCTTTAAATGATATATATAATTCTATAGCATAATTGATATCATTTTAATTGGTTAATAAATTTGTATCAAATATAGTTATATAGTCACAGAAATATCTATATATATTAAATTATTTCAAAATAAAATAATTTTCGTAATTCCTTTTTTTCGATTAATTAGAAATTAAAAGCCGGTTCAAAAAGCCGGTGAATATTATTTATGTAATAATTATTTACTATTTCGCGAGAGGAAGACTTTTCATAAAATGCAATAGAAATAACTATAGTATATTAAACAACATCACTTAGAAATAGTAGAACAAGGGATAACTCATTCTCTT